GTGCTTAAAGAAAGCAGAATATACAATTCCTATATGTTTGACTGAAAACTGTGTTGGCCTTAACTGTATTTTCAGTTCTCAGTCCAGGTGCCAAAAAACAGAGAAGAAGGAACTCATGTTGCACCAAATGGTAGCTGCTGAGTGTATATATTACATTATTCAAAGATTAAAAAAAAGGAGTGGGGGAGGCATAATAAAGAAAAGAGCCATATCACAGAGGCAGGCAGCCACTGATTTTTGCAACAAATGTTAGTGACAGTAGTAGGAAATACAACTGCTGAGGCCAGCAGGATGCTTTTGAAAGTGTTATATAAATGTATAATAAAAAAGAATTACTGAAATTAGGAAGAACAAGCTTACAAGGAAAAAAACCAGATGGTCTGAACTTCCTTTACAACTTTAATTTCTCCTGGTCCCAAGATACAAGGCTTAGGTTACCTTTATACTGCTAAGTAAAACAGAATGACTGTCTGTGCTCTAATCCTGAGATCATTACAGCCACACCTCATCCATGTGTCACTTGGCTTTGGATCTCTCTGAGTCTCACATAGGGTCCTTCCAGCCACAAACAGTTACTATTTTTCCTCCTTTTTCCTCTAATCTCCAAATCCCTGACCTAAAGTGAGGACTGTATTACAGGTCAGTGGTGGAGTATTCTCATTGCATAAAACCACAGATGTGTATTGCATTTACAGTGCGAGACCATCCAGGGTGTTTGAGGATGCCAAATCCTACAGGAGGGCACTGGGGGAATTTGCCAAGTTCAGAGAGCCACATAAGGTGCAGTTTTATCCCTATTCTTTTCTGGGAGGTAGCACTTGTCCCGGGCTTAGAAGTGTTGTCTGACTCACCTGTCTGTGAGTCAGGCTGGGTGATCAGTAGTCCAGCATGCAAGGTCACTCCCTGACCCTTTTTTGTGTAGTGATAAAAATGCAGCGTAGATGTCTCTTAATTAAAAAAAAAAAAAGATAACCAACATTGGCCATTTTATTTTAAGTCCAAAAACCACTCAATAAATGATAACATGTCTTTTTTGGCAGTCAGTCATGACAATTCAGCTTGAGGACTAAGACTGCAGTTGGTTTTGCTGTTTGCATTTATGTTTTTAACATCAAAGTCTTGGCAGATTAAGGGAGAAGTTCTGTCTCATCTATGCCACTGTCTTCATTTGAAGCCTGTCCCAGCAGCCTGAAATGTTCAGGAGGAATTTTCCTACTGACTTTGGTAAGTCTGGGACCAGCCTCTCATGTTCCAGGATCTCCTCTGCATGTACAGTGCGTTTCTTGTTCAACAAGTGTGTGTTTTGCTAGTCTCAGATGAGCAAAACTATAGCAGTAACATGTTTTGTTATCAGAAGAGAGCTTAGATAAGCATGGACACAGTCAGACAATGATCAGTCTTTGTTAGCAAGATGTTCTTTCCATACAGTGCTTCTCCACGTATGAGCTAACCCATGGCTCTCCATCAAGTGGATTCTGTGAGCATTCAGCTCAACTGCATTTTTCACACCTTGCAGGGTGAGTGAAGAAAGTATTAATTTCAGATGATGCAAACAGAATTTAAATCCTGCTATAATCATTTAGGAAGGTGTTTCTTTACATGCAAAGAGAATGGTTTGCTGAAAAATATGAGAACAGTATGAGCAAATGCTGATGTATTTCAGTATGCATCCTCCTGTTACCTTTGGCATGGCAATTATTCCAAGAGCTGGAATGGAGGCAGGAGAGGAAGTGCCTTCCTTCGCATGATCTCTATTCCCTGGCCACAGTGTTCTCTGATAATGAGGAATGTTTCAGAGATGGTATCAGGTCACCACTGCTGGTAGGACTTTTTCACAATGCCAAAAAAAACAAGGCTGGAAAATTGCTAAAATCAACAGGATCTTGCCTTAATATTGCAGGCAAATGCTTGTCAGAAGTCCAAGTCTGATAGCACTGGAAATGAAATGCTCCATTTACCCATGCAACAAGTGAAGCAGTGGAGGTCAGGTGTGTTTGGGAACAGGTCTGGTATGGGCTTTAACTCGAAAAACTGAAACATTAAAGAAGTAGCAAGGGCTCTATTTTCACCTCTTTGCCACTGTTCAAGTCACTCCCAATCTGATCATCCAACAATGAATCACTGCAAGGAAGGTTGGGAGTTTGTCCACTAATACAAAACATCTTACTAGGAGAGATTTGTGCTGGTTGATGAGGCTTATTGAGTTTAAAATCTCTGTTGAAAGGAAAAGTGCCAGCAAAGCTCTGGACATGAGGAGAGCAGACTTCAGACTACTCAGGGAACTAGTAAGTAAAGTGACCTGTGAAAAAGTTTTTTCATATGCTGGGGTCCATCAGTGCTGGTCACTTTTTAAACATCACCTGCTAAGGGCACTGGAGCAGGCAATTCCTAAAAGTCGGAAGGAAAGGAGATGAGGCAGAAGACTGGCTTGGCTGACCAGGGATCTTCTTTTGGAAATGAGGCAAAGAAGGAATGTGTATATCCAGTAGGATCAAGGTCAGGTGACATGGGAAGAATACAGAGATACTGCTTGCCATGGTAGGGAGAAAAATCGTGTGGCCAAAACTCAACTGGAGTTGAAGTTGTCCAGAAATGTGGAGGACAATACCAACTTTTTTCAAATAAATTAATGGCAAGAGTCAGTGCAGAAATAAAATCAGCCTGTTAGAGGATGAGGATGGTCACCTCACAAACAGGGACATGGACAAGGTAGAGATGTTCAGTGTTTTCTTCACCTCTGTCTTCAACACTGACAACAGACTAAGGAGGTCCCAGCGGCCTGAATTGGAAGACCATGACTGTGAGAAAGATAGACTCCCAGTTGACCATGAACTTGTATGGGATCTGCTGCTCCAGCTGGACCCCTACAAATATATAGGGCTGGATGGAATTCATCTGAGAATCCTCAAAAAGCTGTGATGTCATTGCAAAACCTCTCTCAATGATTTTTGAGTGTTCTTGGGAAACTGGAGAGGTCCCAGCAAACTGGAAGCTGGCTAAAGTCCCAATTCTGAAGAAGGGCAAGAAGGAGGACCCTGGAAACTGCAGGCCTGTCAGTCCCACTTCAGCGCTTATGGAGAAGATTATTCTGGGAGGTATTGAAAAACACCTGGAGGACAACGTGGTCATCAGTCACAGCCAGCATGGCTTCATGAAGTGAAAATCCTGCTTGTTGAACTTGATTTCCTTTTATGACAAGGTAACCTACCTAGTCGAGATGTAATCTATTTGGACTTTAGTATTTTATGCTGTCTCTCACAGCATCCTTCTGGACAAAATGTCCAGCACACAGCTGGATAAATACATCATGTGATGAGTGAGCAACTGACTCACAGATTGGGCACAAAGAGTTATAGTGAATGGGGCAACATCAGACTGGTCACTAGTGGGGTTCCACAGGCTCCATCTTGAGCCGAGTGCTCTTCAACATCTTCATTAATGACTTGGACACAGGACTTCTGAAGGGATACTAAGAAAGTTTGCAGACCACATTAAACTGGGAGGAGCTGTCAAGTCCCTTGAGGGCAGAGAGGACCTGCAGAGAGACCTCAGTAAATTAGAGCGATAGGCAGTCACAAACCATTGGAAGTTTAACAAGGGCAAGTTTTGGATTCTGCACCTGGCATGGGGCAATCCTGTTGTGTGTGCAGACTGGGGAACGAGAGGCTCGAGAACAGCACTGTGGAAAGGGACCTGGGGGTCCTGGTCAATGGCAAGTTGAGCATGAGTCAGAAGTGCCCTGGCAGCCAGGAGGGCCAACCATGTCCTGGGGGGCATCAGGAAAAGCATCACCAGCCAGTTGAGGGAAGGGATTGTCCTGCTCTGCTCTGCACTGGGGCAGCCTCATCTCAAGTCCTGTGTGCAGTTTGGGGCACTACAATACAAAAAAGACATTAAGCTGTTAGAGAATGTCCAAAGGAGGTCCATGAGGATGGTGAAGGGTCTGGAGGGGAAGCCGTACGAGAAGCAGCTGAGATCACTTGGTTTGTTCAGCCTGGAGAAGAAGAGATAGAGGAGAGACCTCACTGCGTCTTCAACATCCTCATGAGGTGAAGAGGAGGGGCAGACACTGATCTCTTCTCTCTGGTGACCAGTGACAAGACTCAAGGAAACGGCGTGAAGCTGAGTTAGGGGAGGTTTGGGTTGGATATTAAGAAAAGGTTATTCACCCAAAGCGTGGTTGGGCACTGGAACAGGCTCCCCAGGGAAGTGGTCACAGCAGCAAGCCTGGCAGAGTTCAAGAAATGTTTGGACAATGCTCTGGTGTGATGGACAAGGCCCATGGTGTGATTCTTGGGGCTGTCCTGTGCAAGGCCAGAAGTCGGACTTGAAGATCCTGATTCCAACTCAGCATGTTCTATGTTCCATAAATTAAATTAAACTAACTTCATTGTCAGAAAGAGTCCATTAGATTTGTCTCCTGGAAAAATGGGTATTCTCTTCGGCCACAAAGGTAAGTTTCGCAAAATTTGATGTAAGTAGAGTAAAGTACTGTAAATTGAAGTTTTGTACATAATCAGATAAAAAAAAGATGCTGGTAAAATGTGTAATGTAATGGACAGTTACTGTCAGTCACTGCTCAGAAATAAGTAAAGTCATTATGGCTGAGCAACAAAGGTTGTGTGCTCCCACTCCCCACTGTTACTCTCAAAAGGAGCTGTCAATATCAAATCAGACTTTATTTAAAGGTTTCTGGGTTTTCCTTGCCAAGAAGTGAGAGATAAAGGATTCATATGCAGACAGGTTCATGTAGCGGGGAGGGCAGTTTGTCAGTTGGCTACAGCCCTGTTGTGTACTGCAGGATCTCAGAGCTAAGAATGTCTCCTTTGTTTCCTCCCAAATCCATGGAAGGAGGAAATTTTGAACTATAGGATTTAAACTATAACAACTTGCTTTGAAAGGAGTTGAACATTAGGAGCACTAAGACCTCCTGCCAGCACCTCGGGGACCTGTAAATACAAGGAGGTACAGAGAGGGCAAAATGAAACAGGGAAGCACTGTTGGAAAATCATCACATTTTATTAGCCTCAAAATGTGTCCACATCAAATCATAGGTGGGTCCCCTGAAGCCATGGGCAAGGATATGCTGGTAGTGCCATGTCCTTGGGGCAGCTGGATGCAGCTGTTCCTGATGCTGTTGCTTCATCCATGCTTCCTTACCAGTCCCACTGTTTTTCTGTCTGCTGGACAGGTCCCAGGGCCGCAAGAGCGGCCTTGCCCAGGACCCCACTCCTGATGTAGTGGGTTGTGTCCAGCAGAGTCGGAGCTTCAGCTGTGGGGCTTTGGGAGGCGTTTGCTGGGCTCTCTGGCCCTGCTGATGAGGTTGGTCCTGCCGGTGCCTCGTCCATACTTCCTTTCTGGTGGTCCTGCTGTTCTTCTGGCTGTTGGAGCAGTCCGTGCTGCTGTGGTTGTTGCTCTCACCATGTTATCCGTACCTTTTTCTGGGTTCTGCTGTACTTTTGGCCGCTGTTTGGAACTCTTTAGAGAACTGTTTAGAGCAGCCTTTCCCAGGACCTGACCCTTGATGTCCTGGGCTGTGTCCAGCAGAGGTGGAGCATCACCTGCGGGGCTATGCAGGGTATGTGCCAGAACCTCTGTCTCTGCTGCTGTGGCTGTTGCTCTCATCACCTCTCCTGGGCTTTGTTTCAGGTCCTTCAGTTCTTCTGGCTGTTGGTTGGTTCCCTGAATCACAATTACAGCCTTGCCCAGCACCTTTGTCCTGTTGTACTCGTCTGTGTCCGGCAGACCGGGGGCATTGTCTGTGAGGCTGTGCAGGGCATGTGCTGGGCTTTCTGCTCCTGCTGCTGTGGCTGTTGCTCTCACCACTTCATCCATGCCTTGTTCCAGGTTCTCCTGTTCTTCCGGCTGCTGTTCAGGACTCTGGACTAATAGTGTAGCCTTGCCCTGGACTTCACTCCTGATGTACTGGAATGTGTCCAGCAGAGTTGGAGCATCAGGTGTGGGGCAGTTCAGGGTATATGCTGGGCTCCCTGCCACTTCTGCTGTTGTGGCTGTTGCTGCCATTACCTCATCCATGCTTCCTTCCCGGTTCCACTGTTCTTCCAGCTGCAGAACAGGTGCCTGGGTCATAATTACAGCCTTGCGGACGACCTCAGTCCTGATGTACTGAGCTGTGTCCAGCAGAACAGGGGCATCGTCTGCGGGGCCGTGCGAGGCTGTGCGGGGTATGTGCCGGGGCATCTCTGCCCCTGCTGCTGTGGCTGTTGCCCTTGTCACCTCATCTGTACTTTGTTCCAGGTCCCTTAGTTCTTCTGGCTGTTGCTTGGTTCCCTGGGTCGCAATTACACCCTTACCCAAGACCTTTGTCCTGTTGTACTCGTCTGTGTCCAGTAGAACAGGGGCATCATCTGTGGGGCTGTCAGGGGCATCTGCTGGGCTTTCTGTCCCTTCTGTTGTGGCTGTGGCTTTTGTCACCTCATCCGTACTTTGTTCCAGGTCCTGTTGCTCTTCTATCTGCTCCTCGGGTCCCTGGGTCACAATTACAGCCTTGCGCACAACCGCACTCTTGATGTACTGGGCTGTGTCCAGCAGAGCATCGTCTGTGGGGCTGTCGGGGGCAGGTGTCTGGTTTTCTGCCCCTGCTGGTGTGGCCAGTGACACATCCACGCTGTCTTCCAGGTCCTGTTGCTCTTCTGTCTGCTCACTGGGTTCCTGGATCACAGTTACAGCCTTGCGCACAACC